TTAGCCCATTCGAACGTAACCGAGATTAGAATGTAAAATCTCAAATACAATCCGCAATTTTCCATTCCAGGCTACACTGTACATGACGTTGGTACTTGTAGATCAAATGCGGCTGCAGTTTCAGAGCGGGTGAGTCAGGACAGCTAATGCTTGCCATGACGGGTGAGTCAGGACAGCTAAAGATTGCCATGACGGGTGAGTCAGGACAGCGAATGCTTGCCATGACGGGTGAGTCAGACCAGGGAATGCTTGCCATGACGGGTGAGTCAGACCTGGGAATGCTTGCCATGACGGGTGAGTCAGACCAGGGAATGCTTGCCATGACGGGTGAGTCAGACCAGGGAGTGCTTGCCATGACGGGTGAGTCAGACCAGGGAGAATGATTGTACTGGTAGGGGGTATAGTAAAACAGGCAAGGGAATGACTCGCAGTGCCATGATGCCATGATGCCATGATGCCATGATGCCATGATGCCATGATGCCATGATGGGTGAGCCAGGTGAGGAATGGTATGAATTGGTTCCTGCTTGCATTGTTGTAGCCCCCGGCTAACTGCAGAGGTGAAGAAGAAAGCGACTGAGGTGCGCAAAACAATGCTTCATGGCTCCTTTCCTTCCCAGGCCGTTGTGATGGTGGCCAGACACGGTGGAAAACATCACTTGAACCGGGCTGTGTTTCTCACGTAAAATGCATGGTCGAGTCCAACCCTGCTGGAAGAACGTGAAGGTGCTTTTGATCGCGGCCGTGGTCCGCAAGCAATGACCCAGTGACCATGGTGACCACGGAGTGCGTGCTGGTTGCCTGGCCTGGCCCTCGAGACAGACGTGGAATCTTGGCCCATTTCGCAGAGAAAAAATCCCACGTAGATCTACTGCTGTGAGACCATGCGGGTCACTCCTCGGGAGCGTTCAAACGTCGAACGCTGAGCTTGGTCTGCCGCTGCACGTATGCGAATAATTCGACTCCTCAGTCAGTTGCAGGTGTTGGGAATATTCCGGCTCAAGCCACCGTTCTTGAAAGGATGAATCCATCTATTGCAGAAAAGAGAGGCGACTAAGAAAACGAGGCGGTCACTACATACACAAAATGAAACTGATCGATCATCCATTGTCGACTTGGTTACGTGGCACCTGATTCTGATGAGTCATCTCATTCCAGAATCGGTCCAAACGAACGCACCCACTTTCGTCTCAACCCTGGCGAGCGAGTTCGATAATAATGCGACAGCATGTCAAACGGTGAGATGCGCCTTGCGAGGTGGGATTTACCTTGTCAAGTCAAATCTGTGGTGAGTGCTTCGCAGTGCAGTACGTAATTCGTTGATCTGTTTTTTTAGTCGGTTGTGACAGTAGCCTGCTGCGTTGTAAAACGCACTGAGTCTACTATTTTTTTTTTACTGAGTCTACTAATGACTACATGTACATGTATGTAAAACTGACTGTGTTTCTTACTTCACCGCTGCTGGAACTGAGCGTGAGGACACTGCTGGTGCTTTTGATGCCGCGCATCGTCCACAGTCCACACGCTTCCTTCAAACTTGCCGGTCAAAGAGTTACAAGCAACAGTTAGTTGGAAGCGCATTCGCCATGGCAACGTGAACGTGAACATGTACATCCAGTGCACAGCCCCAATAAGATTGAAGAGGTGGGCATTAGACAAGAACAAACGAACAGCAAGTGCATGGGAAAGGCACGATTTCGGAACGTCACACAACTGGGAGAGAACTACAGCCACGAACCGATAGTGAAAGGATGAATCAATCTAAACCCCCAGCTACAGGAGAGAGAGAGAGAGAGAGAGAGAGAGAGAGAGAGAGAGAGAGAGAGAGAGAGAGAGAGAGAGGCAAAGAAAATGATAACTATTGAGCAAGCGTTGCAGCATTATAATGCCGCTTGATTCTGTGGAGTCATCCTATTCCGGAATCATCGAAACGAATGCAACCACTTTCGTCTCAAACTCGGGGACTCGATAATTTGTTGTGGCAAAGGTGAGATGCGCTGGGAGGAATTCCTCCTGTCAAATGTCTGCTTCGTGCCTCGTTTTCGCATTCTTTGTCCTTACTTCGTGACGGTGGCCTGACAAGTCGGGTGGATACAGGTACGCAATTGGAATGGAAGAACGTGAGGCCACTGAGCAGGTGGAGCGAACTGGCGCCTAATAACTCCTGCGGGCCTTTAAGAAGCAGCACATGACTCAGATTCTCACCATGATACAACTGTTGTGGTTGTCGTAATGCCCTTTGAAGACGAGCAAGTTCAGAACACGTCCAGACACCTGCGACTGACTGACGACCCCAAAGATTTCACACACGTGCAATGCCAGACCACGATGACATTCGAAAGATCCGAGAAGCTTATATGGCCTACTAGTGCAATGTGCAATGTGGTAGCACTCTCGATATTTCCCTTGAAAACGTGCCAAAGTTTGTTGGGCGTCCTGTCTAGCCAAGCAACGCGCTCCATCCATGTCGTTTGGTACCGTGTGTAGTGGTGGAGGATGCGACATCAAAAGCATGCTCAGTGGCCTCACGTTATTCCATTCCAATTGCGTACCTGTATCCACCCAGCTTGTCAGGCCACCGTCACGAAGCAGACATTTGACAGGAGGAATTCCTCCCAGCGCATCTCGCCTTTGCCACAACAAATTAATTAACGAGTCAACAGTACAACGTCTTGTACAATGTAGCCTGGAATGGAAAATTGCGGATTGTATTTGAGATTTTACATTCTAATCTCGGTTTCGTTCGAATGGGCTAAGCTCAGGTGTTGCTCGCTGTTGCAATGCATAGATCTTGTTCATGTACATGACCATATGTTTGCCGAAGCAGCAAAAACGTGACATCCGATACAAAAGGCGGAAAATAGAGACAACTTGAAGGCCCAGGGAGTATCGATTGGTTGAGTACAAAGCAGAACCTCGTCTCGCCTTGGACTTCATTTGCTTGAGTCCCTGCCAAGGTGAAGTACTTGACACATTTATTTAATTCTTAACTTTTTCTCTCGTCCAGTGCTGACTTCAGCTTCCTTTTCCTGGTCTATCGAATTTTAATGATCCCTGTTTGGACTGGTGTAGCCAATAGCTACAAGTTCAAAGCTTCAGGGCACCTGCGTGGAGCGACTCCGGAGTCATCCGCGGCAATCATGAAACAATCATGGGTACGTACATTGTACTGTAAGAACTGCTGATGGCATGTACACGTGTACATGTACATGTATGTCCTGTGCATGCAGGTTTGGTGTTTTGTGACGTAATTAACCTGACGTTCTACAGTCCTCACCGAGTCGAAAAATGAAGTGAACTAGCTTTGCCAACCTGTAGACTAGTGTAGTTTGTGTTTGGAAAGGCGCAATGTTTTTGCATGGCTCTAACCTAGCTGGATTGCCTGATCTGCCATATCCTCTGCAGATTCTGATGTACAGAAAAGGGGAGAAGAGGAGCCCTGGTGACCATGGTGACCACAGTTGACAGGTGACAGTTACGTAGCGCATTCCGGGCTTGAGCTGGCTAGTGCTAAAATGGAAGTGCTTGAAAATGTCGCCCCAGATCGAGCCTACCGGAACAGCACTCAGCAGACATGCCAACAGTCCCGAGCACAAAAAGTACACCTGAAGGATGCGTTGCGTAAGGATCGTTACTTGCAAAACAAAAAGAATACTGTCGGTATTATTTGTTGGACTGTTCATCTTCATAACGTTTCCTCAATCCACATCTCCATTGCAGCGTTTTCTATCCACTTGTAAACAACTCTATCCCCGAACAAGCTCTCATACAAGCACGACAAGAATAAACTTCCTGCTGTTCATCCATTTCTTTAGTTGTTTGCAATTCCATGTACGTTTAATGGAGCAGCCATGTATCAAAGCCTTTGTACTTCTTGTGAACTGTTGGCATGTCTGCCGAGTGCTGGGTAGGCTTGATTTGGGGTGACATTTCCACGCACTTACATTTTAGCACTATCCAGCTCGCCAACAGTATTGATCTCTGCGTGCATAGCCTTGCTGCATTCCCAACTCACTCACTATCCGTATCCATGTTCTGCTATCCATTCATGCCATGGACATGAGACTCTTTTACGGGCAAACAGAATACAAAACCATTCATACCGGTCTCAAATTCACGAAATGTTACATAATTTTATTTTTCCCTTCAAGTATTAATTTTGTATTGTAGTTGCAGCTTTTGACACTTTCCCCATATTCTCTGCATCAACCTTTTTGCCACCAGCTGGGGGCGTTTCAACCCGCTGTACCCTGATATGTCGTTCGTTTTCGCCAGTTCCTTCAGCTCTTCCACGGAAAGCACAGCCAAGTCAACCGTTGCTGCGGAAGACCGGGTAGTCCACGTGATCGGACTCCATGGTAGCCCGGTCACAACAAGTACTATAGCTGCCGACTTCGTCCCGGTTACCTACACAATTCCTGACGGGTTCGGGCCGAGCAGTTACTGGCTACACCAGTCCAAACAGGGTTCATTAAAATTTGATAGATCAGGAAAAGGAAGCTGAACTCAGCCACTGGACGAGAGAAAAAGTTAAAAATTGAAATACAAGTAGATGTGTCAATTTCACCTTGGCAGGGACTCAAGCAAATGAAGTCCAAGGCGACACGGGGTACTGCTTTGTACTCAACCAATCCATACTCTCTGGGCCTTCAAGTTGTCTCTATTTCCCGCCTTTTTCATCGGATGTCACATGATGCTGCTTCGGCAAATATACGGGCATGCACAAGATCTACGCATTGCAACAGCGAGCAACACCTGAGCTTAGCCCATTCGAACGTAACCGAGATTGGAATGTAAAATTTCAAAATACAATCCGCAATTTTCCATTCCAGGCTACATGGTACATGACGTTGTACTTGTAGATCAAATGCGGCTGCAGTTTCAGAACGGGTGAGTCAGGACAGCTAATGCTGGTCATGACGGGTGAGTCAGGACAGCTAATTTTTATTTAATTTATTTATTTATTTATTTTTGTAAGTTTTCCAAAAGCCTCTTTTACGGGCAGCAAAACACAATTTGCCAAGATGAAGGATGTTACCACAAATGAAGAGAATAGTTGTATGAAGAAAAAAGAACGATAAAGAAGGAAAAAAGAACTTCAATAAGCCAACCTCTACAATCAGCACTACGGAAGAAAACCAGGCGGAATGCCCAAAACCAACATGGAACGAATCCAATCATAGCACAACTAACTTCAGACAAGAACAATACAAAATCCAGACCTCTGAATGTGATGTGATGTCAGGACAGCTAATGCTGGTCATGACGGGTGAGTCAGGCCAGGGAATGCTTGCCATGACGGGTGAGTCAGACCAGGGTATTATGCTTGCCATGACGGGTGAGTCAGACCAGGGAATGCTTGCCATGACGGGTGAGTGAGACCTGGGAATGCTTGCCATGACGGGTGAGTCAGACCTGGGAGAATGATTGTACTGGTAGGGGATAGTAAAACAGGCAAGGGAATGACTCGCAGTGCCATGATGCCATGATGGGTGAGCCAGTTGAGGAATGGTATGAATTGGTTCCTGCTTGCATTGTAGCCCCTGGCTAACTGCAGAGGCGAAGAAGAAAGCGACTGAGGTGCGCAAAACAATACTCCATGGCTCCTTTCCTTCTCAGGCCGTTGTGATGGTGGCCAGACACGGTGGAAAACATCACTTGAACCGGGCTGTGTTTCTCACGTAAAATGCATGGTCGAGTCCAACCCTGCTGGAAGAACGTGAAGGTGCTTATGATCGCGGCCGTGGTCCGCAAGCAATGACCCAGTGACCATGGTGACCACGGAGTGCGTGCTGGTTGCCTGGCCTGGCCCTCGAGACAGACGTGGAATCTTGGCCCATTTCGCAGAGAAAAAATCCCACATAGATCTGCTGCTGCGAGACCATGCGGGTCACTCCTCGGAGCGTTCGAACGTTGAACGCTGAGCTTGGTCTGCCGCTGCACGTATGCGAATAATTCGACTCCTCAGTCAGTTGCAGGTGTTGGGAATATTCTGGCTCAAGCCACCGTTCTTGAAAGGATGAATCCATCTATTGCAGAAAAGAGAGGCGACTAAGAAAACGAGGCGGTCACTACATACACAAAATGAAACTGATCGATCATCCATTGTCGACTTTGGTTACGTGGCACCTGATTCTGATGAGTCATCTCATTCCAGAATCGGTCCAAACGAATGCACCCACTTTCGTCTCAACCCTGGCGAGCGAGTTCGATAATAATGCGACAGCATGTCAAACGGTGAGATGCGCCTTGCGAGGTGGGATTTACCTTGTCAAGTCAAATCTGTGGTGAGTGCTTCGCGGTGCAGTACGTAACTCATTTATCTGTTTTTTTGGTCGGTTGTGACAGTAGCCTGCTGCGTTGTAAAACGCACTGAGTCTACTATTTTTTTTTTACTGAGTCTACTAATGACTACATGTACATGTATGTAAAACTGACTGTGTTTCTTACTTCACCGCTGCTGGAACTGAGCGTGAGGACACTGCTGGTGCTTTTGATGCCGCGCATCGTCCACAGTCCACACGCTTCCTTCAAACTTGCCGGTCAAAGAGTTACAAGCAACAGTTAGTTGGAAGCACATTCGCCAAGGCAATGTGTACACGTACATGTACATCCACTGCACAGCCCTAATAAGATGGAAGAGGTGGGCATTAGACAAGAACAAACGAACAGCAAGTGCATGGGAAAGGCACGATTTTGGAACGTCACACAACTGAAAGAGAACTACAGCCACGAACCGATAGTGAAAATATGAATCAACCTTAGCCCCCAGCTACAGAAGAGAGAGAGAGAGAGAGAGAGAGAGAGAGAGAGAGGCAAAGAAAATGATAACTATTGAGCAAGCGTTGCAGCATTATACTGCCGTTTGATTTTGTGGAGTCATCCTGTTCCGGAATCATCGAAACGAATGCAACCACTTTCGTCTCAAACTCGGGGACTTGATAATTTGTTGTGGCAAAGGTGAGATGTGCTGGGAGGAATTCCTCCTGTCAAATGTCTGCTTCGTGCCTCGTTTTCGCATTCGTAGTCCTTACTTCGTGACGGTGGCCTGACAAGCCGGGTGGATACAGGTACGCAATTGGAATGGAAGAACGTGAGGCCACTGAGCAGGTGGAGCGAACTGGCGCCTAATAACCCCTGCGGGCCTTTAAGAAGCAGCACGTGACTCAGATTCTCACCATGATACAACTGTTGTGGTTGTCGTAATGCCCTTTGAAGACGAGCAAGTTCAGAACACGTCCAGACACCTGCGACTGACTGACGACCACAAAGAATTCACACACGTGCAATGCCAGACCACGATGACATTCGAAAGATCCGAGAAGCTTACATGGCCTTCTAGTGCAATGCACAATGTGGCGCACTCTCGATATTTCCCTAGAAAACGTGCCAAAGTTTGTTGGGCGTCCTGTTTAGCAAAGCAACGCGCTCCATCCATGTCGTTTGGTAGCGTGTGTAGTGGTGGAGGATGCGACGTCAAAAGCATGCTCAGTGGCCTCACGTTCTTCCATTCCAATTGCGTACCTGTATCCACCCAGCTTGTCAGGCCACCGTCACGAAGCAGACATTTGACAGGAGGAATTCCTCCCAGCGCATCTCGCCTTTGCCACAACAAATTAATTAACGAGTCAACAGTACAACGTCTTATACAATGTAGCCTGGAATGGAAAATTGCGGATTGTATTTGAGATTTTACATTCTAATCTCGGTTACGTTCGAATGGGCTAAGCTCAGGTGTTGCTCGCTGTTGCAATGCATGGATCTTGTTCATGTACATGACCATATGTTTGCCGAAGCAGCAAAAACGTGACATCCGATACAAAAGGCGGGAAATAGAGACAACTTGAAGGCCCAGGGAGTATCGATTGGTTGAGTACAAAGCAGAACCTCGTCTCGCCTTGGACTTCATTTGCTTGAGTCCCTGCCAAGGTGAAGTACTTGACACATCTATTTAATTCAAAAAATTTTCTCTCGTCCAGTGCTGAGTTCAGCTTCCTTTTCCTGGTCTATCGAATTTTAATGATCCCTGTTTGGACTGGTGTAGCCAATAGCTACAAGTTCAAAGCTTCAGGGCACCTGCGTGGAGCGACTCCGGAGTCATCCGCGGCAATCATGAAACAATCATGGGTACGTACATTGTACTGTAAGAACTGCTGATGGCATGTACACGTGTACATGTACATGTATGTCCTGTGCATGCAGGTTTGGTGTTTTGTGACGTAATTACCCTGACGTTCTACAGTCCTCACTGAGTCGAAAAATGAAGTGAACTATTTTTGCCAACCTGTAGTTTGTGTTTAGAAAGGCCCAATGTTTTTGCATGGCTCTAACCTAGCTGGATTGCCTGCTCTGCCATATCCTCTGCATATTCTGATGTACAGGAAAGTGGAGAAGAGGAGCCCTGGTGACCATGGTGACAGTGACCATGTTGACAGTGACCACACGTGACCACAGTTGACAGTTACGCAGCGCATTCCGGGCTTGAGCTGGCTAGTGCTAGAATGGAAGTGCGTGAAAATGTCGCCCCAGATCAAGCCTACCCCAACAGCACTCAGCAGACATGCCAACAGTCCCGAGCACAAGAAGTACACCTGAAGGATGCGTTGCGTAAGGATCGTTACCATGGTTACTTGCAAAACAAAAGAGTGCTGTCGTTATTATTTGTTGGACTGTTCATGTTCATAACTTTTCCTCAATCCACATCTCCATTGCAGCGTTTTTTCACTTGTAAGCAACTCCATCCCCGAACAGGCTCTCATACAAGCACGACAAGAATCAACTTCCTGCTGTCCATCCATTTCTTTAGTTATTTGCAATTCCATGTACGTTTAATGGAGCAGCCATGTATCAAAGCCTTTGTACTTCTTGTGAACTGTTGGCATGTCTGCCGAGTGCTGGGTAGGCTTGATTTGGGGTGACATTTCCACGCACTTGCATTTTAGCACTATCCAGTTGGCCAGAAGTATTGATCTCTGCATGCATAGCCTTGCTGCTTTCCCAAATCACCATCCGTATCTCCATGTTCTGCTAACCATTCATGCCATGGAGACCAGCCTCTTTTACGGGCAAACAGAATACATAACCATTCATGCCGGTCTCAAATTCACGAAATATTACATAATTTTATTTTTCCCTTCAAGTATTAATTTTATATTGTAGTTGCAGCTTTTGACACTTTTCCCATATTCTCTGCAGCAGCCTTTGGAGGGAACAGAGAGAAAACGTTAGTTCTACTGCAAGACTGGTGTGGATTGCGTCGATGCATGCACTACTTTCGAAGTTGGATACACTGCCAAACAGTTGTCCTCGAAATGAACATATCGGCATTCATGGGCTCCCCTTAGCCCACTAGTCATACATCTCACATTCTTGCATGCCCATACATGTGCATGTACGAGCGCCGAAGGAGGATTAAAAGTTAGAGTCAGACTCAACTTTTAATCCTCCTTCAGTGCTCGTACATGCGTCAGTGCATGTTGTTGTTGTTGTTGTTGTTGCTACTGCTGCTGCTGCTGCTGCTGCTGCTGCTGCTGCTGCTGCTGCTGCAGTTGTATTCTTTTATTATCAAATTCGCTCACGGCATCTCCTCGGAGAGACGACTCGATTCCTTCTTGCAGGATTCAGATGTTACATGAATAAATGAGAAAGATCATGAACAACAATAATAGTTGAATATGTGATAGCCTTCGCCTCTATTGTGTGTGTAAGGACAGTTGAGATATTATTCGAGATCTTGATTATGAAAAAGAATACAGCGTTTATGAGGGCAGTGGTGCAGAGATCGACAATTTTAGGCTCCAAAGGGTGAAAAAACACCTATGATCCAGTAGAGACATTACACATAATCAGGGCAAATATAACAATTATTACTGAGTCCGTGGTGAATCAGCAGTGGTGATGCAGCCTCTGTAAATGACGATGTACATGTGAACGTGTATGTGCAGTGAACGCTACTTACATGTACTTGCGAGCTTGTGCTGATCTATTCCAACACATAGATCAGATGAGAAGATGCGACAGTCGCTCTATGCTGACCGGCATTGGACTGGACACTGTCTGCCGGCTCTTTTCTTGCTGGTTGTGAATTATTTGACATGACCAAGCTTGACGTCATTCAGGCTGACTCATTACTCACGGTAGAAATAGTCGCACTCCCTGAAAAGCCCAAACTGGCCAAAGGCAAAGAACACTGGTCCCGTCATCGGGCTTTCCAGACCTGTCTCATGACATACGTCAAAGTTGGCGCCCCGTCGAACTTGTCTGAAACGCGCGCGACTGCGTGAAGACAACACGCTCGACAGGCGGTGAGAGCGCTTCTCCTTGACAAGGTGCACGTTGTATTTTTCATGAGGACTTGTAAAGAACCAACACATTGACTGTACGCCTAGACGTGGGTAGATTCTGCGCGCGCTGAAACAGTTAGTTGAGATCCTGCATGGTTGCCTGGGTCAATGGACGAGGATCGTCACACGGCCCAATCTAACTGTACAATCCTGTATATTACTAGCACGATCATTGGCCTTGGCAATGGTTTTGTTCGTCTCTGTGTCTCTGCATGATCCCTGTCTTCCTGTGAGTGAGAAGAGCTCGCAGCTCTAGCAGGCAAGTAGCACACTCTGCGACTAGCCATGTCAGCGAATACGCACGTACGCTAATGGGAAAACGGGGAAAGGAAGTAGGAAGGCACAGAATGAGAAGAAAAACAAGGTCACAACAGAAATTGAAATTGTAAATATCTAACGAATGAAGTACCAGAAGACTCCGCTAGAAACGATTTCCCATAGACCCTTCTTACCTTTGGAGGGGGCACCGAACTGGGTGTTGCACGGCTCACAGCGCATGGCGGGCAGCGGTCTGTTCCAACACCAATGAATGGAATGTTGCCCCGGCAAAAACAGATTCTGCTGTGCTCCACACGAGTTCGACCACTGGCTGTTGTACGCAATGATTATGTCCCTGACGAGCTGCTAGCAGAGTTCAAGAGCTGCTCTGGATTCGGACCATATTGAGAACGCGCCATGCGCCAGTCAGTGTACCCTGGCTTCCACACTATCCAGTCATCACTGGACCAGGTAATGGTGTAGACCCAGGCTTCTCGGCGCAGCTTGGTAAGACCAACATTCTGAATTTGTCTAACACGTCAGCTGTGAACAAGAACAAACTCTACGTCCACCGTGTACAAGACACGCGCTAAGGAAGATGTCCGATGGCATTGAAAAAGTCTACAACAAAAAGTACAACAAAAAGTCAACAACAAAAAGTCAACAACAAAAAGTACTACAAAAGGTCAACAACAAAAGTACTACAAAAAGTACTACAAAAAGTACAACAAAAAGTAAACAACGAAAAGTGCAACAAAAAGTAAGGTAGATTTCCACAGACGATCTGCGCTGCGCCTTTTGTACCCAGGCGAAATGAAAGGCGCGACTTCGGGTTACTAGTACGTTGCTCCGAGGACAATCGATGGGCCAGCGCAACAGTCATGCACATTGTACATTGGTAGCGCATTCTTCGTGCGTGGCTGGACGGATCTAGCTGGCCCGTACGTGCGTGACCGTCTTCGGACTCCGACAGAGATGACAAATATCCCTATCAGTCTGGAGATCTTCTGATTTTGATTTTCTGACATCTATGACTATGATACATTTCCCTATCTGTCGACCAGGGGAAACTAACTTCTCTACTTGGCACGGGGCTTGCGTCCAGTTCATGTACGATCATGCACAATTAGTCAAGTACATAATCATTGTACGTGACTGTACACTCACCAGTGCATGCATATAGCAGGTAGAGACCTGACAACTGATTCATTTTTCTGAATATTATGTGGTAGCAGAATGCCAGTCACTGATGTCTGGCATTCTGCTACCACAAAACTTCAGAAAAATGAATCAGTTGGCCCAGTGCACTGGCATTCTGCTACAAAAGGATTTCAGAAAACTGAAGGAGTTGACCCAGTGAAGCTGCATTCTGCTATCACAATATTTCAGAAAAATGAAGCAGTTGGCCCAGTGAACTGGCATTCTGCTAACACAGAATTTCAGGGGAAAAAAAGAAAACAGTTGGCAGATCTGCTACGACCATCCACCGTAGACATCGGAATACGTCTTACGAACTAGCTGCTCAGCTGTCGCTGATGACACATTCTACATCTCCCTGCCTGCATGGAAGGATCTTGTCTAAGGGATGAGTGGACTAGCGATGTCCCCATACGAGTCAGGTGCTCAACTGTAAATCTCTGTGCGTGAATGCTGCAGGTAGGATTTTGCAAACATGCTAGCATTGCCCTCTCTCCTCTTTGGAGGCAACCCTGTGCCAGAGTCATCCACAATAAAGCTCTTGGGGGTGACTTTTGATCCGAAGCTGTCCTTCGCGGAGCACATCCGCGCAGTGTCTATACGTGGCAAACAGCGCTTGGGCCTCCTGCGGCGAGCTGCGCCCTACCTCTCCCGAGAAGGCCGCCTCACGGTGTACAAGGGGTTTGTACGGCCCGTTTTGGAGTATGCTCCGCTCGTCTGGATGGGAGCTGCTCCCTCCCATCTTGCACGCCTAGATAGCATCCAACGCCGTGCATTGCGCATCATTGGTCCCGGGACGGAGCTCCAGAGCCTCAGCCTACGGCGATACGTTGCTGCATTAACATACACTTACAAACTGCATTTCATCACCGGTCCGACTCAATTGCTAGCAGTCCTCCCTCCAAGGCTTGAGCCCCGTGACGCCACTCGCACTCGAAACGATCTCCGCATGGCCGCCGGCCACAGTTACCAGCTACGAAATCCGCTACCGCGTCAAGCACCAGACACCATTCTCCGCAGCTTCCCACATTGTGCAATCCAGCTGTGGAATTCCCTGCCGCCAGCCTTTCTAGACTCCGCCCCAACTGGCAAAAATCTTCAAAAGTTTAAGTGCAACGTCAACGAATACCTCCGCCGACAGGATTGGCGATGGTCCACGGACATTCTGCCATCAATGCCCGACCATCACTGCTGCACCTCAGTGCAGCCCCTTCTCAGTAGTTGTCACGTTTTTCCTTGTCTCAGTACCATTGTCTTCTGTATTATTTATGAGTTGGGTATGTGAACATAGTAAAAAAATTTGCAACATACAGATGAGATCGGCGACGACAGGCCAAGGCTAACATCCAGCGGTTCCACGGAGCCACCCTCCCCCCCCCCCCCCCCCCCCTGGCAGCACATCATCCACCTACTATAGCCAGTGAACGTGGTGCCTCCAGCTGGCTGACTTGTCGCCCTCTTGCCCGTCATGGTTTTTCCCTCTGCAAGGGTGAATTCCGGGATGGATTGGCCTTGGGGTACATCTGGCAACCTGGACGCCTACCATCAACTAACTTGTGCGACTGCGTGTGGAGCCAACTTTAACGTCACGCATGCTCTCTCTCTCTCTCTCACATGCTGCACGGGTGGTTTCCCGTCCTTTTGCCAAGTGAAGTGAGGGATATCACAGGATACCTGCTGAAACGGGTGGCCAACAACGTAGCTGTCGAGCCCTATCTGCAGCCTTTGTCTGACGAGGACAACTACTAGTACCTGGCTATCAGCTCTAGCACGTCTTGGATGCCCAGTGTCCACTCCAACAGCCTTCCAACTAAGTACTTGGAAAGTTCTAAGTAACTTAGTTTAGTAATAACATTGAAGGGGAAGGTGCGCGCAACCAAGACAAACACGAGCTGAAAGTCTCAGCTGTGAAGGACGTTGGCGGATGTACATGTACATGTACATGTACATAATATATGCATGTCGATGACGATACTGGCAAGACCATGGGACAATACGGTTAAACCATGATTCAAGGAGGCCTAGCAACTTTCAACTTGCCTTCGAGGACTCTTCGGCTTGGATGATGGCAGACGGTCAAACACCAACAGAAAAGATCTTCGGACACGGCAAGTGTAGACTTCATTGCTACGAGGGCGCCATCTTTGGTACTTCGAAGTACATGAATGTAAGGAGGAAATGGAATCGAACAGTGAGCAGCATCTCCACTCTCCAGCGTGAAACATGGAGATGTACAATGTAGTTACTGTAAAAGCCATTATTCTAACGAGGCGCATATAATAATTATTATAACGATTTCCCAAAAGTGACTAGTTTACGTGTATCAAAGGTAACGATCCTCACTCATTCTCAGCGCTCAATAGGACAGTATATGTATCGATTTCTGTATAACGATTTCTATTTTAACGACAGATTTCTCCTCGTTAACTCGTTAGAGTTAGCACTTCGTTATAATTACTGGTGGTAGACTTGCGTCGCCAGCAGGGCGGGGCGCGAGACGAGTTCTGCATTCCTGTAGTGCAGCCTCCAGATAGCAGATGAAGAGAACTGGGCTGAGACTGTCGCCTTTTTTTTTTTTTTTTTTTTTTTTTTTTACTAAGTACACAACCTACTCGTCAGAAGGGGAGAAGACAACAGAGTATACAATGACAAAACAGCAGGGAGAGTAGGGGCTGCAAAGCAAGCCTGTGCTGGTGAGGCAAGCCCACAACACCGACCTATGGTCTCGGCGTTAACGTGAGCTTGCGCACCATAGCCTAAAAGAGGGGGGTGATTTAGTGCGATAAAGACAAGAGAAGGTGAGGTAGAATGGATGAGGAGAAAGAAAGAGAGAGAGAGAGAGGGGGGGTGGAGAAAGAGAGAGAGAGAGAGAGAGAGAGAGAGAGAGAGAGTGAGTGAGAGAGAGAGAGGGGGGGGGTGGAGAGAGAACAGGAAGAGAGAAAAATAGATTCAAAGGCAGTTCAGATGCAGTGAACATCATGCAGTGCTTGGGGGGGGGGGGAGCTTCAGGATGGAAATAGTTCTGAACTGTTAGAGGGAGTCTGTGGCCCAAAGCCACTGGCTTCGGCGAAGATGGTAGTGGACGTTCGCTTTGAAGGATTGTAGGCCCTTAGGAGATGGTGGTTTGGTGAAGAGGGAGGATGGCAGCGCATTCCAGGTGTTGATGATGTTGTATGGAAAGGCGCGTCTTAGGTAGTTAGGAGCGCCTGGAGGGAGAACATTTTCCAGTTGGAAGGGGTGTGAAGCAGACTGTTGGCATTGTCTCCGGGTTACAGGTGCGCCATGGTGGACGACGAGAGGGGGGACCATGGATCTCAGCAGAGGAGGACCTGGTTGGCCCAGCAGCTTGTAGACGAAAGTCAGTGCCGCCACTGTCCGTCGGGCCTCTAGGCTCTGTAGCAAGATGTTGGGTCCCAGGATGTGGAGGGCACGCCTCTGCACTCTGTTAAGGTGTTCAAGGTTAGTGGGAGCAGCTCCCATCCAGACAAGGGGAGCGTACTCGAGCAGGGGCCGGACGAAGCCGTGATACACGGCCAGCATGCCACGGCAGTCCAGAACACGAGCAGCTCTACGTAGGAGGCCAAGACGTGAGTTTGCCCTGGCAGCAACTGACCGGAGATGGGCGGAAAAGGATAGCTTGGAGTCAACCATAACTCCGAGGAGCTTGAGGTGTGGCTGTTGTGGGATGACCTCCCCTCCAAAGTTTATTGCGGGGACAGGCCAAGGCTGCTGTCGATGGCAGGAGATTCGTAGGAGCTGCGACTTGGATGGTTCAAACTTAACATGCCACTTTGTTCCCCATGCATGTAACGCATTAACGGAAGCTTGAAGACTGTCAGCTTGGTGTATGGCATCATCGCGTGTATTGACGCAGGCATACAGCGTGGTGTCGTCTGCAAATGTTCCCATTTCAGACCCTGGAGCCAGACAGCTATCAGCATCATTTACATATACTAGGAACAAGGACGGTCCAAGGATGCTGCCTTGTGGTACTCCTGCAGAGATCGGATAGCGATCGGAGCTCTTGCCGCCGATGACCACTTCCAGCGAACGACCTGTTAAGTAATCTCTAAGCCAGTCCAGGAGGGGGCCCTTCACACCGATGTTCCGCAACTTGTGCAGTACACCTGTGTGGGAGACTTTGTCGAAAGCCCCGGCGATGTCGACAGCAAGCACCTCCACAGATCCACCAAGGCCAGATGTGGCCGACCACTTGTGGTGTAGTCCCGTAAGTAGATCGGATGGACCTAGGCCTCGGCGAAAGCCAAATTGCCTTGGTGATAGGAGGTTTTGTCCCTCCAGAAAGTTCATTAACTGGCGGTTGATGATGGACTCCATTACTTTGGAACATATAGAAAGCAGCGAGACTGGTCGGTAATTCTTTTCAGCGGATTTGGAGGACTTTTTGTATACTGGAACTACTCGGGCAACCTTCCATGCCTGTGGTTGGTGGCCAGTACTGAAAGACAGGGAGAAGAGGCGTGCTAGGGGCCCCGCAAGCTCAGTTGCGCATTCCTTGAGTACCCTAGCTGGGATATTGTCCGGTCCAGTGGCTTTGGAGGAGTCGAGTCTTGCCAGATGTCGTCGTACTGTGTCAGCCCGGAAATGGATCCTTGTGACTGATGGAGTTTTACTGTCGCCAGAGGCAGCAGGC